TGATTGCAGTTTCAATGTATGGTAACTCGGTAAGCATATTCAGAACATGCATCAACCTTTTTCAGTTACAGCAATTAGAAATGGACTAAGAAACAACAATGATAAGAGTCATGCCCCAATTCAATTCCTTTTTCAATCCTCAATCAATCAAATGGAGCACATTTAGCAGTAGAAATCAGGCAATTCTGAATATCTTGGTCGCTATCTTCTGTTTGCCACACAAGGATTCAATGAACCAAGATACTTCTATCCAAGTATTTTTCATATATTGATAAGATACCCCAGTCAAGTTACAACTATAACATCTATAATAACAGTAAGAGCTAATCTAGAGAGTTACTGTTGTAACAATTAGACTTTCGTCAACCAACACACCAACACTACCCCATTAGATGAATGATTGAATAACAACTTTTTAACTTTTTCTTTTTTCTTTCGGCAAAAACCGCCAAATCAATTCTTAAAAAATATCGACAAGGATAAATCTACCATTCACAAAAATAAAAAGATAAATTGTCTTTTCAAATCATAAATCAAAATAAATCACTCTTTTTTTTAATGAAAAACGTCAAAATTTTATTTATCACATCAATATTTTTTAACAGAAAACATTAAAAAATAAGTAATTTATCTTAATTTATGATTTGAAGGAACCATTTATCCCTTTATTTTTGTGCCAGATGAATTTGTTTCTGCCAATATTTTTTAAGGGTTGGGGTTCTCCCTTTTCTTTCAACATAGTGGCATCGATGCAGCTAGAGTAAATAAGAAATACAGGGAAATGAGATAGAAGAAAAAAATAGTAAAAATCTTTGCCTCATCGTTAACCAAACTTTCAATAATTGACCAAATAATTCAGTACCTTCTACTTTCTTGTATCACTATTAACTATCCCTTCTTTGTTTGACCAAATAATTCAGTTCCTTTTACCTTACGTCGCTCTTTCTAATTTACCCTTCCACCATTTTATAAAGACATGAAACTCATCCCTTTAACAAATTGCAGACAACACTCACAAACCCCTTCAAGGGTTCAACCGATAAATAAAGTAAAATGGATGATTACTGTTTCTCGATATTACCTTCACTACAGCTGATTTTTACACTTGATCTATATGAGCATGGACCCTTCTCAAGATTCCTGCAAGACACTCTTTTAATTGATATTTGCATTTCCTCCCCTTAAAAATATGTAATGCAAACGAAACAAGTTAGACAGACAATCAACCATCTACAGATGACAAAGACACTTTAAACCAATTTATCTTTAGTCCTCGAATAACAAAAAGAGGTCAGTATATCCTGGGGGCTCATCAAAGCCTGGATAACTCATTAACATGCTCTACATCAATCATTCAGCTGCTCCATTAACAAGAATCATGAAAGATATAAGGCATTGCAAAAAGAACATTGAGCATAGAATTCCACTCTAAATATGAAAATCATCACCATATCCATTGATCCAATAGGATGTTCATTTTCCATTAGTCTGGACCAGCCACTTGGATCTTTCCAGTTTGGTCTTCAAGCTGTGGCCATAGCCTGTGTTGGCATGAGCGAAATCAACAACCAAGATGACTGATTCTTCGTAAGGGGATAATATGGTCTTCATGAAGAGAAAAGGTTACCCAAAAATATATAAGCTTAACTTGTATAAACCCTAAATGGTTCAGGGTAATCATAAGATTGTATTTGACGATCAAATGAGAGAGCCACTAGCTGCCCTGCGTCATATTTACAGGGGAGTTTCTAAAGGGAAGGCAAGAAGAAACCTGGCAAAAAGAGTAAAGCCATTTGAAGTAAAGTTTGTTAAACCTGAGACAGTACTGATCACAAGTAACCTCCATGTGTTTCCAATGACAAAACTTCCGCAGAAGAAAAGATTGCAATAAGACTTTGTTCTTATCTTATGATGATAATTCAAGAAGATATCACAGAACACAGCATTTCAAAACTGGAAACGCTGGAAATCAAGCTCACAGCTGAAATATGACTATGTCTCAAGACATTGTTACCAGAACAATCAAGCGTGACATTAATATGATGCTGAAATGAATATTTCAACATTCAATAAATATACATCGTTTTTAATTTTTCCCAGATTTCACCTTAATTTTTACAAAAAAAAGTTCCTATATCAAAGTGCAGACCTTTGCAACATACTTAGACGTTACCTGGGAAAACGTCTTCTAAAACCTCAAAAAGTGGAAGGAGAAAACACCTTCAAGAACCCCCACAAATGCCCCCGCCAAAACATCCAATAGGAAGTGCCTCCCGAGCAAAACCCTAGAAGTTGCCGTCAGCACTGCCCAAACCCAGATCCCCAAAAGAGCAGAATCAGCCCTAATCCATTGGTCAACAAAATTCGGAACCAATCCATCTTCACTCTTGAAAACTAGGTGCATTAAAGTGGCAAGCAGCAGTACACGGGAAGCGTGGCCGCTGGGAAAGGAGAAGTTATCCGCGTGGACGACAGCAGACATATTGGGGTTGTAATGGGGACGGGCACGGCGAAAGATAAGCTTGACGAGTCCGATGAGCGCGAGATCGAGGAGGAGGGAGAGGAGAAAGGGGAGTAAGAGGGGTAAACGGGAAGGGGAGGCAAGGACGATAGCGAGGGAGACTGGGAAGGAAAAGCGGAAGTCAGCTGAGTATTCGAGGAGGAGAAGGAAGAATGCGGGAAGGAAAGGTTTAAAGAAGGCGTGGAGGGCATATGAGAGAGAGGCGTCTAGAGCTAGGAGGTGGCGGAGGAGCGGAGGGGATTTGGTGGCCGCTTCGGCGGAGCCCATGGCCGTATTGGCGGTTGGGATCTGATCAACGCAAAACAATACGGTCAACCGTTTCGGTCACTGTGTTTTCAAGGCAAAAATGTAATATAAGAATCCAAACTTGCACAAAATTGGCAATTTCAGACCCAAACTTCAGTTGTACTCAATTAAGGTCCCAAACTACAAGACGTTCTCACAAATAAAGTCCCAATTAGATAATATATTCTCTTGTCGCAAGTGTCTTGGATGCTTGTTAATAATCCATAACTCCT